ATATGAAGGCTAAACTAATTGAAATGAAGGGAAATGCGCAGAAAAGCAGTAGTGATGGAAAGGAAACTGGGACTCAAATCAAGGGAGTGGACCAGAAGGAAGAAAAAAACGACCAAACAGAAAAATATGAAGAAACAAGAACTCAAAAAAATAAGGAGAGGCTAAGGAACCTCCAGAACATTTTTCAACGCTCCAGCATACAAATTATAGGGGTACCAGAAGGGGAAGAGAAAGAGCAAGTGGAAATCTTATTTGAACAAATACTAAAGGAGAACTTCCCCAATCTGGCAAAGAAGATAGACTTCCAGGAAGTACAGGAAGCTCAGAGTCCCAAAGAAGTTGGACCCAAGAAGGAACACACCAAGGCACATCATAATTACATTAGCCAAGATTAAAATGGAGAGAATCCTAGAAGCAGCAAGAGATAAGGGGACAGTCACCTACAAAGGAGTTCCCATCAGACTTTCAGCTGATTTCTCAAAAGAGACCTTACAGGCAAGAAGGGGCTGGAAAGAAGTATTCTAAGTCATGAAAGGCAAGGACCTACATCCAAGATTGCTCTAGCAAAGATTGCATCCAGCAAAGCTTTCATTTAGAATGGAAGGGCAGATAAAGTGCTTCTCAGATAAGATCCAATTCAAGGAGTTCATCATCACCAAGCCCTTATTATATGAAATGTTAAAAGGACTTATCTAAGAAAAAGAAGATAAAAAATATGAACAGTGAAAGGACACCAAACTCACAGTTATTAACCACACCTGAAACAAAAGCAAACTAAGGAGGACAGCTAGATCAGGAGCAGAACCATAGAAATGAAGATCACATGGAGGGGTAGCATTAGGGGAGTGGGAGGAGAAGAAAGAGGGAGAAGGTACAGAAAATAAGTAGCATAGACGGTAGGTAGAAAATAGGGAGGAGGGCAAGAATAGTAGGAGAAATATAGAATCTAAAGAACTTGAGACACGTAGACATAAACGTGTCTACCCCCCCCTTTAGGGGGGAAATGGTGAGGGAGGGGTGTGCAGGGTGGAGGGGAAAGAAGGGGGGAAATAGAACTGTAATGGCATAATCAATAATATATTTAAAAAAAAAATAAACAAATGTGGTTCAAAACATAGCTCTAAGCTCAAGAGTACACAATCAGCAAGACTTCTGTAATACCCCACCTCTACCCAAAGTTAAATAATTTCCTGGGAAACTACCATATCTTGCCATATATAATACACGCTTTTGCCCAAAATTTTTAGGGAAAAATAAGGATGCGCATTATACATGGGTAGTACTAATTCTGTCTCTATATAAATGTTTTAAATTCTATTTATGCTTATGCATTAAAAATGTAATGCTGCCCTGGCTGGTGTAGCTCAATGGATTGAGCGCAGGCCTGCGAACCAGAGGATCGAGGTTCGATTCCCAGTCAGGGCACATGCCTGGGTTGCAGGCCAGTTCCCTACAGGCTATTTCCCAGCAGGGGAAGCACTAGAGGCAATCATACATTGATGTTTCTCTCCCTCTCTCCTTCGCCTCTAAAGATAAATAAAATCTTTTAAAAAAACGTAATGCTAGCTGTGGCTGAATTGAACACAGGCCTGCAAACCAAAAGATTGCAGTTCGATTCCCAGTCAGGGCACATGCCTGCCCCCCAGGGGAACACTAGAGGAATCATACAGATGTTTCTCTCCCTCTCTCCTTCGCCTCTAAAGATAAATAAAATCTTTTAAAAAATAATGCAGCGCGCAACAACCAAAGATCAGTTCCCCCAGCACATGCCTGGGTTGCAGGCCAGTTCCTGGCAGGGGACACACGAGAAACAACCATACATTGATATTGCTCTCCCTTTCTCCTTCCTTCCCTTCTAATGATAAATAAATTTAAAAATAAATAAATAAAATTATTTTAAAAGTGTAATGCTAGAAAGCAATAATGCTATCCATACACAAAATAGCCTGGAACACATGTATCAGTTTTGTTTCTAAATATAAATAAAAAAATCTGAATTAAAAAATTTGAATTAAAGTTTTTTTCCTGAAAGTTTGGGCCAAAAACGTGGGTGTGCATTACACATGGGAGTGCATTATATGTGGCAAAAGACACTATTCTATTTGGATAATAAGTGCCTGTCTAATAATAGCCTACACTGTAAAATTTAGAATATTCTTACGTTTCCTCCTTAGAACCACGCTTATGACCAAAAACAAAATCCTGCAAAATGTTTTGTGGAAAAGTGTCTATACCTGGTATTATTATTACTAATGTAAAGCATTCAATACCAAAGAAATGAAGCTCATTTTACAAACTCAGAATTTTTGCAAGGCCATGAAATTTCTATTTTATTACAGTTTTATATCACACCAACACATTTCTTTACAACTACTGCAACACAGGTCCTTTGGAATTATTTCAGTTATCTGTAACATGTGACTTCACCAAACTTTCTAAAACAAACAAAAAATTTCAAATTATTAACTTTTAGATGAAAGGGAAATGAAATAAAGTCATTAGATGATGGTGGGGTTGTTCATTTCCAACAAGCCACAGTGTTGAAATGTTGCTTCTGATACAGCAGTTATGAATTAGAATCCTCAAAAAACAAGAGCAGAACCAAAGTATACTAAAGAAGTTTCTGCAGCTTAAGCCTCCCATAGTTCTAAACCTTTGACAAAAGCAAGATATAGGATCTTTCCTGAAAATTAAGTGGGTTTCCAATATTTCCATGTAGTTAAGCTTTCAGAGACAGATGCTCAAGATTTACTATTAATGTATATACCATCTTGGCTCTGGTTGCATTAATTATGCCTAAAGAGTTTAATACCCATCCAAGTCCAAAGGTGGAAGAACACATACACTGGTATGGTAATGGGCAAGAGCAGGCTGTAAAAGCAGAGGCTGGCTGTGCTCGTGCAGCCCTGTGGGAAGTTTTCTTCCACAGAGGCCGAGTAGAACAGTCCTGCTAAAGAGACCAACGGAATAAGGACAGTCAACGTAGGGAGAGACAGAAACATTCTTCTCTCCCACTTATTACCTGCCACCTTGACTTTTTAAAAAGGTAGACGGTATTAAGAAAATTCAGTTCTTAAAATGTGGTTTTTAATTATGATTTAATGCTGCTCCACATCTTCTTCCTTCTTGCTTTGATGTGTCATCCTTGCTGCCTGAGGTATCATATTAGGAATCCCATCAATAATTGGATAGGCTATTCCCAACTCTTCATTAATCAATTCATTTGTCGATGCTTCATATCTGAGGGAGGGGAAAAGAAAAAATGAATTGTGAAAAACAAAATGCTTGGAAGAGCTTGATATTCAATAAGTACCACCACTTAATCTAATTTTTGACAGTTAATCTCAGAAAAGCAGAATTAAAATCCTTTTAATTCTAAAAGCAGTGATAGCCAGTTGAATAGTTTCTTTTAGAAAATGAATTTCTAATCATTCCTATTTTAGTCAGTTTCTCCAAGTTTTTTCAGTTTATTCTCAACTTTCACCTTAATTAAAAAAGAATCAGGAAGGCTAAAATTAAAAATAATAATTATTAAAAAAAAAAGAAATTCAGAAAAAGATTCCCCTTACAATCCAACTAGTTCTTCATTACTCTGGTCACCCTCAAAACTGTCCCAGTTAATTTACTACTGGAAAGATACTAGAGAAAAATTCAACTTCCTCATTTTAGAATACCTGAGAGCAAACTAACTGATCCATCAGAAGGAAACCATTGGGAAAAAAAGTCTGAGCAAGATAAAAGGGCAGAAATGAGAAAACCGGAAAACTGCAAATCTGCAGTAAGCTAGTTATACAATTAACTAAAAGGTACAACAAATGATCATTTCAATATTTAAGAAAACTTAATAGGCTTATTATGAGAAAAATATAGAAAGAGAAATGCAAAAAAAGAAAGAAAATTAATATTACTAGCAATCTACCACCCAAAGATAGTACCACACACAACACTGTGGTATTTAGCATATCCAATGTGCAATACTAGTGTTGTAAACGTTCAGTTTCAGTAGCCTGTAACTGTAGAGCTATCTATCCTAAGGACTATAAATTAAGGTGAAAGAGGCCTTTACAAAAACCAGCTAGTCCAGAATGAAAAGCCAGAGAGCAGAACACGAAGCTTACACGCTCGAGTTGCGCAGATATCAGTTGTACACGACATTTTCACAAGCATCTGCAGGATACTCCAGTATTATTCATCATCATGGCTTAAAAACCTTAATGCCTTGGACTAGTCCTATATCTCACAACTTCGTAAACCTGCCTATACATTAGAATCACACAGACTCCTTTGAAAGAGATAGTTAATGGCTCAAGCCCCGCCCCGAGACCTTCGGGTTCGAACACGTGGGATGCTGCTGGGGAATCGCCATTTTTAAAAAGGTTCCCCGGGTGGTTCTGACGCACAGCAAGGGGCAAGTCTATAAATGCTCCAATCTGTCCCTGCGCGTAGGCGGTTTGATTTGGCAGGCCTGGGGCTCAGCTCCCCTGCGGCCTTCTCCCACCCCTCTCGCGCACAGGGAGGAGCGTGGGCGCTGACATGCCCCCAGAAAATGGCAGCAGTGAATACCCGGACTGACCTAAAAAGCTCCCCAATGCGTGTGGGCGGCAGCGCAGTTCTCCTGCCCCCTCCCGCAATAGGCGGCTGCGACTGGGAAACCACAGCTACAGGGAAACCGAAGCTCACCTGAGCGGCTTCTTGGAAAGGGGGCACACCAAGAACTCCAGCAGCGCCCGGTCGAAGTCGCGGGACGGTTCCTCAGTCTTCTCACTGTGATCAGCCGACCGCTGCGACCCCGACCCGCGCAGGCACCTACGAGTGACCGCAGACGGCAGCGCGCGTGTACTGCGCAGCGCTAAGGCGAGCCTGCCGCACGCTGCACTCAGCATGGTGGCCAGCCAGCCACTGCCCCTCACCGCCCTCCGCCTGGCCCAGCCAAACAGGCCGATCACCGCGCGTCCAGGAGGCCGACTAAGCCCCGCCCCTCGGTGCTCTGGAAACGTAACCCCCAACTGGCGGGAGCTAGCTCTTTGGTTCCGAGGGCGTTCCTGACTGGACTGCTTTTCCCGGGGCACCACTTGTAAATTAGAGCGCAGTTTGCAACCAGTGTTGTCTGGTGGCTGTTCTATTGCGTTTAGACATGGCAAACGAAAGCAATGCTTTAGTGGGGGTACCTTGAGTTTTCACCAGGGCAAATCGCAGGTTTCCAGGAAGCCAGAGGCCTGACCTCAGAGCCACACAGTGTTAGACTGAGACCTACATAGTTATCTACAAAAACGAGATTTCAAACACTCTTGTCATAGTGGGTGTGTTAAAAGCATTCATTTGTTTTAGGTAAATCTTTATCACAGTTTTTATAATCTTGTTTGGCTGTTTTTCTTTTTCTTCTTCCATTAAAAAAAAAATTGAAGAACCTGAAAAGAATATCTCAGTCCTCTTAATGTTCTCAGACAGCCATACTCTGACCCTGTGTGACTCTGAATTCAGTTGCTTAATAAAGTACAATTAATTTACTTCTCTAAATGAGTGTGGAGACAGCAAGAGTCTAAGTAACTGTGACTAGGCAAATGTCCATTAGTTGAAAAGGTAACCATTGTGGATTTTTCGCCTCATGTTTGTCACTCACTGTCCAAGAAAGTGATACAGGTTTGATCTTTCGTCCTGCAGCAGGTAAGAGAGCTTGGGCACTGGGGCCTAATAGCTTGGTTCCAGGTCCACAGTTTACTAGCAGTGTGACTCCAGCAAGTGATTTAACTACATAGTTTTCTTATCTGTATAAGATTAATAACTGTTCCCACCTCGAGAAATACCCTTGTGGGTATTAAAATATGACAATGCACTCAAAGAGGGTTTAGAAAAGTGCCTGGGACAAATTAATGCTCAAATAAAGTTATTATTATTTTTATTTTTCCCATTCTTCCAAGTTCAATATACTAGAATATTTTTTGTTAGTCACCATGTTTTCCCTTTGTTTTGCTGAATATTGATTTGAATCTTATTTGTATTGTTGGGCTTGACTATTTCAGACTTTGAGCTCCAAGGATGGGAGTGAGGGATATACAGATACAAATATAAGATTATATCTTCAAATTTGTCTTTCACTCAGCAATGTCCAAATAAATGGAGAAATATGTATATTGTTTGTTCACTCTATTTTTTAAAATCCACTACGTTATTTGGTGCTCTTTGTTTACTAATTTTCAAAAGATTTGAGCATAAAGCAGTTGTCAGGGATATAGGCTCAAGAAAGACTATTATAAAGTTCTGACGTTACCTTCACATTATTTCCTACGAGGGCAGGAATTAATCTTTTAGTTTGTAGTTATTTGATACTTTGGGCCCAACAGAGGGAGTGGACAATAGGAAAGATAAGTTTTAGTGAGCTCTGAGGAGGCGGAGCTTGATTTCTGCCAGAATGAGTGGGCTCAGACCAGGCTAGGCAGGCCTAGGGCCTTGGCCCCTGTGGGGCAGGAATAGGCCCCCACGTATAAGGCTGGCTTCATTAGCCTCAGCTGCCTGGCCTGGCTAACAGATCCCTATCAACTGGGTTTTCTACCCACTTATAAATAAATTAGTTTCAGATTGATTCCACATAGAAGGTTTGAAGCAGATCAGTTTAGTTTATGTGAGTATTGGGGGGAAATGGAGAGTAACCGCAAAGTATTGACATCCAAGTTTATAGTAGCAAAAAATCTATACCCAATATATAAGGAAATCTGAGTGTGTGATGTATTAATCCAAACAATGTAAATATTAAGTTGCAAAACATCCCTAAATAGCCCCCTGTGATTAAGGAATATAACTTATTTCTGCATGTAGTATACTAAGCTAAATGTAGATGACAGTATAGAACTGTAAAATCATTAGTCCTTTTTTACTGTTGGCATGACTATTATCTTCCCCGTCTCAGAGCCCTGTGCACACATGTAATAACATGGTGGGCTGTGGGCTAAGGTACCTTATTAGCTGTGTGACCTTGGTAAAACTACTAATCTTCTATATCTCAATGTTATCATCTGTAAAATACAAGCGTTCCTCTTTTTATTGTGCTTCTCTTTATTACAATTCACAGATATTGTGTTTTTTACCAACTGAAGGCAAGAGTAGCAAAAATATTATGACTCACTTTATTGTGCTATTTGCTTTATTACAGTCATCTGGGGCTGAACCTGAAATACCTCCAAGGTCTGTCTTTGATATAATAATAGTACCTACCACATCAGAGTCATTGAGAAGATCAAATAAAAAAATACAAGTAAAACAGTTAACATAGGCTGGCACAGACTACACTTTTAAAAGTATGTTAGCAGCAGCAAAATTACTTCTTGTGGTAAAGTTGGTGAAAATTCTAATAAAAATTTTGACGAAATAATGTCCAGCCCAAGAAAAAGTCTTAGAAGGGTTTATTTGAGCCAAATTGACAATTGCCAGGAAGCAAAATCTCAACAGATTGAGAAAATGCTCTGGGGAATGGCTGTTTTACAGTTTATTTTATATGTTAGAATCAGATGAGGAGACATACAGGGGAGGGGGCAGGTTACATAAAAGTCGTTGGTGGTAGGTTAGGAAGGTGGGGAAAATCAAAGCAGGGAAATCTCTGAGACTGGATAAAAGGTGAATGGAGAACTACACACTTCTTTTGCGTTGGTGAAAAAGGGTAGTTAATAATTAACATTTATAGCACATACAGGGAGTATGTAGGCAATAAGATAAAAAGGCATGTTTTGTGGTCTCATGTTCTGATAGGAGGCTATGCCCTTAAGGGCCTGGAAAAAGGGGATTACTCTGACATTACAAAAGTGTGCTATCTTTTTGAAAACAATAGACAGGCTTACTTAAGGTAAAGGTTGCCCTTGGTCAAGGAAGCTATAGGCCTAAAAAAATGTCACTAACCACCATGGCCTGTTTATAGTTAGGGGTTTTTACGTTCAGACCTTCCTGTGTGGTTGCTTTTCAGTCTCGGAGTTTGGGAGGCTCTTTCATTCTGGCCTTCCCTGAGTTTATCAGGTTAAGTAGGTGAGTCCTTGTTCATCGACAAAAAAGAAAAAACACAATGTACCAATGGGCACCTTAATTTTAACTGACATGGAATTTTTGTAGTTTCTAATGTGGATAATGTTGAAACACACTCTTGGGCTATTATATACATTAAATGAATTAGAAATCTCCAGGCAAAGGAGAGACTAGAATATATACTTTTTAAGTATTTTGTAAATATTTTATTTATTTACTTTGAGAGAGAGAGGAAGGGAGGAGAAAGAGAGGGAGAGAAACACTGATGTGAGAGAAACACCCATCGGTTGCCTCTCCTGCACATCGGGTCCAGGAACCGAACTGGCAAACCAAGCAGGTGCACTGACCAAGGATCAAACTGGCGACTTTTCATTTTGTGGGACAACACCCAACCAATTGAACCACATGTGTCAGGGCTAGAATAGATATTCTAACAAGATCTCATACCAAATTCGGGGGCACTGAAATTGGGGAAGCTCTGATTCAAAGAGACAACTTAAAATCAATTTTCCACTAGATGGCATCATTCAATATTTGAACAAACACTTATTTCGGCTTGTACATTTCTTTCTGTGATTATAAAAACATTGCTTTTATTTGGCTACTCATTTTCTTAATTTGATGACAAATTAAGTTATTTAATTATTTAAATATTCAAATTAAGTTATTTAATTTATTAAATATTTAATAAAATATTTAAAGTTATTGTCTACTTTTAAAAAATAACAAATTTTTATTTTATTTTATAAAATGTTTAAATAAGTTGCCATTGTAATGCATTCATTAAAATGAAGGTTCCAATAGATAAATGAGCAGAAACTGTGAAAAAAATTATGAAAAAAAACACAGTTGCTCAATAAACATAAAAATATTCATCTTCCATAGTAAAGTAATGCAAATTTTAAACATCAAATACATTTACATTTCTCATATATATAATATGAGGCATTGGGTCACATGGTTATGGAGGCCAAGGAGTCCCATGACGTGCTGTCTGAAAGCTGCAGGACCATTGGAGTGGACGGTGTAAATCCCAGTCCAAGAACAGAAGAATACAGATGTGTCTCCTCAATCAGCCAGGTGGGGAGCAGGTCTGAATTCCTCTTGCCTCTGACTCTGTGTTCTATTCAGGCCATCAGCAGATTGGATGCTGCCTATCCACATTGGGGAGTGCAGTCTGCTTTGCTGTGTCTACTGATTCAAATGCTACTCTCATGTGGAAGCACTCTCACCAACACATCCAGAAGTAATGTTTAATATCGGCACCGCTTGGCCCAGTCAAACTCACACAAAAAATTACCCATCATACTGTCCTACAGACTCAAGCTGTCCTCTGCACAATTATATGGTGTTCAAAGTAAAAGCTCATCATCACAACACAGAAGAGATGGTTAACTATAATAAGCAAAAAACAAAAACAGGACAAAATTTTACATACAACAAGTACAATTAATTTTTAAACCAAGAATTTAGAAATAGAAACCAAAATGTTGGTTGTGTTTAAGTGTTTGGAATGTTCCTGACTTGTTCTTTAACTGACTATCTCTTTTATTTTACTTTTTAAAAGATTTTAGTTATTTATTTTTAGAAAGAGGGGAAGGGAGGGAGAAGAGAGGGAGAGAAATATTGATGTGACAGAGAAACACTGATCTACTGCCTCTCATCTGTGCCCCAACTAGGGACCAAACTTGGAACCCAGGCATGTGCCCTGACGGGAAATGGAACCATGGACTTTTCACTTTTGGGACAATGCCCTGCAAACAAGCCACACAGGTCAGGGCTGATTCTCTCTTTTAAATTTTTCTTTTATGAAGTAGTTTTAAAACATAAATACTTGAGGTTAATAATTGATATTTTATATTTTAAAATTATTTTATATTTAAAATTATGTTACATTTAAAAATATAATATGTAGTATATTATATTTTAAGATTATTGATTCCACTCAATGAATATTTATATTGACTATTCCTATATTCTTAGTATTGTGTTAGGAGGTAAAAAGGAAGTGTATAAAGGAATAAAAGATATCCTAATTTTTAAGAAGCTTATAATCTTAAGTGAACTAAATAGCATAGGATAAAGTTAACTAAAATTCAACATCTGTTGAATTCATACTGAACAGGGAGTAAAACCTGTGCTTGGTAGAAAGGGTAGGGAGTGTCAGTAAAGGATGGGTCATGTGACACTATCAAATTTATTACTTAGGTCTCAGGAGACACTCATTTTATCCCCTTTAAAAATCTTTTTTAATCCATGAAAACAAAATATCAATTTTTCAAGCAGGATATGAATCTTGTTGGCAGAGAGGAGTATGATGAACCCTTCATACTATTGTATATTGCAGCTCTGAGAAAAATAAATAATATAGAATTCAGTGGATTTCGAAGGCTGCAAGTTAATATATGTTTTAATTAGCTTACATATATAACTGTCCAGTTTCAAAACTGATTTAAAATTTGGCAAGGTTTGATCTTTAGCTTAGAATTTCAATGTAATTAAGATGCAATCATATGAAAAGAGAAATGGTGCTTCTGAAAGAGACTCATCACCAATATTTTGTTCTTTAAGATGTTCTGTTCCTACATATTTTGAAATACTTCAAGAGCAGGAGATCACCCAAACTATGTCAAAAAGGGAGTATGCAGATAAACCACTCTCCATATTTTTAACTTGTTTATTTAGAATAAAGTATATCAAGGAAAAACGGCAGACTTCCAGTCAAGATGGCAGTGTAGGCAGACATGTTTTGCCTCTTCACACAACCACATCAACATTACAACTAAAATATAGAACAACCATCACTCAGAACCATCAAAAATTGAGTTGAATGCAAGTCTGACAACTATAGAAACAAAAAAACCACATCCATCCAGACTGATAGGAAGGGCACAGACAAGGAAATGCACTGGTCCCACACACATATGTGGTAGCTAAAAATTCCGGAGGGATATCTCAGGAGTAAGGAGGCCCAGCTCCACACCAGGCCCCCCAGCCCAGGGTTCCAGTGGCAGGAAGATAAGTCCCCACAACTTCTGGCTGCAAAGACCAGAGGGGATTCAGTTGGTGGAAGAAAATTCTGGAGCCCCAAGCAGTTTCTCTTAAAGAACCCACACACAGACTCACCTACTAAGACTCCCTCCCTCTGAGCTCCAGCACCAGAGTAGTAGTTTAAAAGGCACCAGTGGTACACAGGAAGAGACTAAAGTGTCTGTCTTCAAGGCCAGCAGAGGCCATTGTCACTCTTCTAAACCCTCCCCACACAGAGCTGGCAAGATGGTGCTGTATCTGAGACTCCATCAACCTGGCTAACACTGTTTGACCTTCCTGGAAGTAACACTGTTTGACCTTCCTGGAAGATCCCCAGAGACTCCACCTCACCCAGCTTACAAACCCACCTGACCTTTTTTTCCATATGAATGGCTGGTCTTGGCTCTTGCTTCACAACTTCCTAAATCCTCTCAAATAACCAACAGCTGGCTAAGCGGCCCCAGGCCTGGCACTAGCAGCAGCCAGCTTAGATTCATAGCTTAGCTTTTCTGGCAATCTTCAAGCTCAGTACAAGTAGCAGCCTTCTCAGATTGTTTTATATCTCAGGCAGGGCTGGCCCAGGCAAAACACAGTGGGTAGGGGGCTGACCTGGGCCTACACCACCTGGGACCCCAGGGTCAATGTACCCAGTGGACAGCTACAGACCATGTTGGAACAATATCGCCTTGCCCCAGTACAGCTGATTGTCCAGAGAGGGCAGAGGATGGTGGTCAGTGGTCACAGCCAGTCTGTGCAGCTGACTGACCTGGGTAAGTCCCTCTCATTGATCTGCCAACAGCAACCAAGGCTCAACTACAAGAGGAGGGTGTACGCAACCCACAAGAAGGACATTTCTCAAGTACCCAGCTTGGGTGATAGGGGAGACTGTGACACTGGATCCTACAGGACACCTACTGCATAAGGCCACACTACCAAGACACAAAGTCAAGAGCAGCTCTACCTAGCATAGAGACATAGAAACAAACACAGGGAGGCTGCCAAACACAGGGAGGAGACAAAGACACATGGCCCAAATGAAAGAACAGATCAAACTCCAGAAAAAGAGCTAAATAAAATGGAGGTAAGCAATAATATATCAGATGCAGAGTTCAAAACACTGGTTATTAGGATGCTCAAGACACTTAGTGAGGACCTCTGCAACATAAAAAAGATCCCATCAGGAATGAAGGACACATTAACTGAAATAAAGAATAATTTACAGGAAAACTACCGTAGAGTAGATGAAGCCAAGAATCAAATCAATGATATGGAACATAAGGAAGCAAAAAACAACCAATCAGAGTGACAAGTAGAAAAAAATTTTTTTTAAATGAGGATAGTATGAGGAGCCTCTGGGACAACTTCAAATGGTCCAATATTTGCATCATAGGGATGCCAGAAAGAGAAGAAAGAGCAAGAAATTGGAAATTAACCTGAAAAAATAATGAAAGAAAATTTCCCTAATTTGGAGAAGGAAATAGACATGCAAGTCCAGGAAGCACACAGAATCCCAAACAAAATGGATGCAAGACACATAATTAAAATATCAAAGGTTAAAGATGAAGAGAGAATCTTACTTAAAAGCAGCAACAGAAAAGAAGGTAGTTATTTATAGGGGAGTTCCTGTAAGTCTTTCAGCTAATTTCTCAAAGGAAAGTTGCAGGCTAGAAAGCATTGGCAAGAAATATTCAGTCATGAAATGCAGGGACCTAAAAATGCTCTACCCAGCAAAGCTATCATTTAAAATCAATAAGCAGAGAAAGAGCTTCCCAGACAAAAAAAGCAAGCAAGCAAACAAAGAAAAACATCTAGAGTTTTTCATCACCAAAGTATTATTATAGGAAATGTTAAAGGGATTTATTTAAGAAAAAGAAGATCAAAACTATGAACAATAGGCAAAAAATACATGTCTATTAACAATGGAATCTAAAAAGCTAAGCAAACCAGAAGAACAAAGACAGAAACATGGACAGGAGAACATTTTGATGGTTGCCAGATGGGAGTGATGTGGGGGAATGAGTGAAGAGGTGAGAGGTTTAAGAGCACAAATAGGTAGTTACAGAATAGCCACGGGGCTGTAAAGTACAGTACAGGAAATGGAGTAGCCAAAGAACTTATATGCATGACCCATGGACATGAACAATGATGGGAGGATTGACTGAGGGAGTGGAGGTAAAGGGGGGAAAATCAGGACAACTGTAATAGCATAATCAATAAAATATAATTTTAAAAAAAATGACAGGATGTTCTTTCCAAATCAGCTTTAAGTAGCTAGTACAGATTCATACTAATACTGGTTTGGCCAATAAGTCCATCATATTTTTTCTGTAAAATAAAAGATGCATTTTTCATTTTTACCAACGACTTTATTGATTTGGATAGTTTAAAAATGATTTTATTTATTTATTTTTAGGCAGAAGAGAAAGGAGGGAGAAAAAGAAGGAGGGAAACATCAATGTATGGTTGTGTCTTGCGCACCCTGCACCAGGGAACCTGGCCCGCAACCCAGGCATGTGCCCTGACTGAGAATTGAACCAATGACCCTTTGCTTTGCAGACTGGTACTCAATCCACTGAGCCACTCCAGCCAGGGTTTGATTTTGGCATTTTGAGTTATAGCAGCTATCTCCTACTTTTGGCTCCTAGTGGGTAGAGGCCAGGGGTGCTGCTAAACATCTTCTAATACATAAGACAGCCCCACACCAAAGAATTATTTGGCCAAAATATCAGTAGTACCAAGAAACTTCCCAAACCACTTTTGACATGTTCTGTCAATCACAGCACCTTCTGCATACACTGTGCAAATCTTTTGTGCGTGTGTTTCAGTTGCATTTTTACCTTTCTGGAAATAATAAAACATAATACACCAAAAATGTTGCATATTTTCTGTCGTCTTTAGTATTAAAATGGCTACACAAAAATTCACTTATTTTGAGAATTTAAAAAAAAAAAACATGCCGAGGGTAGGTGGGTTGGGATGGGAGTAAAAGACAGAAAACTGTACTTGAACAACAATTAAAATAAAAAATAAAATAAAATAATTTTAAAAAATACAACAAAAAATAC